AAGAGACTAATCGTATTTCATAAATTTGTGTACTGAAAATCAGTAAGTTTTCACGAGTTGTTCATCGATTTTGTCTACGTATTTACCATACAGCATATATGTTGTTTTTGGATGTACGGTTAAAGGGTAAAAATCGTGGAATAAGAGGTATCTCTGCGATCTCCAACTATTTTCCAGGCATAGTTTTGTAGCATCTAATGTTTTTCTGCAATCAGTTGAATAACCGGTCAGAGATCGTTGACCTACAGTGTTCTGGTGTGGTCATACCGTATTATCTGAGGAGAATGCCTCTCGGCTGCAATTTGTCATAACCTACCTGACTGTTTTTACCTATAATCATAGAAAGCTCGAGGAAGCACTTACCTCTTTTACATTCCTCTCAAGTTATCTATGACAAGTGTGTAGGATTGAATTACAACGACGATCTTCAACCACAGATGTTCTGCAATTACAAAAGATTCATCGACTATTTTTCATTGTGGAAACCTGCTTGCGAACTTTTAAAATCTTCTCTTGAAAAATTAATAATAGATGAAAACTATCAATTTATAAGACCTACATCTGAATTGTATTTGTTTTAATCGTTGGTGTTTTAGTATCGCTGCTTCCACGGCGACGCATTGGTTAGAACAAACGAGGGCGTTCTGAAGATGAGGGACCTGCCAAAACGACCGAACGTGCGGGTGCTTGCCGTTGACTCTGATGGCAACCTCACCTATTCGCCTGTGGAAAGCTGGATGCATGCGGACCCCAACCGATGGGGCACATTCCTGACGATCACGACGGAATCGGGCAGAAGCGTGCAGCTGACGGACCTGCATCTGATTTACGAAACCGACTGTGAGGGGCATCGGAGGACGATTCTGGCACGTAAGGTTAGTCTGGATCGTTGCTTGCTGGTGCGGCTTGGCAACAACGTCGTCGAGAGCCGCGTCGTGAGCCTGGACTTTGAACCGCAGTCCGGCGTCTACGCTCCAGTGACCAGCACCGGAAACATAGTCGTGGACGACGTGGTCGCCTCCTGCTACTCGACCATCGAAGACGAGACGCTGCAGAAGATCATCCACTCCTATATCATGTTTATACAACGCGCATTTTCCAAGTTCATGCCGGCGTCTTTGCAGGAAACAATTTACGGAAAGGTCGAAGATCCTATGCCCATTCCGGGGGTGTGGATGGCTTTTCTACAACTGAGCAGCGCCTTTGTGCCTTCATGAACGTCGCAGTGAGGTCTATCGGTTTGGCGCCAAACCTATGATCTGAGAGTGCGTTGCAGCACAGTATTCAATGTTCATGATGTTATGTATGTAAATATGGAATGGTGCCCGTTGCTGTTTTGATATCATAATCTACGACCGAGAAAGCTAGCAGCAGACTAATCAAGGTTTACAGTACCTGACTGTTACAAGCGGCATTTCGCTTTGACAGTAGACTACGTCCCCTGCCGCGATAAAGGCCAAATATTTTAACTCGCACGCAAGTCTACCTCAACGAAGCGGTAATAGTTTTCTCATGCCATTCAAGGTATTTGCGGCCAGTGGAAAATCGCCCAAATGTTTATAAACATTTCATTAACGAAAACCAGCGTTTTCTGCGTTCTTCTGGCAGTTTCCTTAGTTATTAGTATTTGACTGCTCGTGGGTCAGTACGATCATCCCTTTTCATCATCATGAAGAGGCGTTTCCAAGCACTGTATGAGTACCGAGAATATGGCTGCTTTGAAGATGCTTACAGTCTGATCCTTCCATGCGTCATGCGGCATACCAAAGTTTACAGAGCCACTTCAATTCACAGGTTCACTTCAGGATTAAAGTCATCATCTTTAACCAGTACGATTCCGAGGTACTTAAATGCTTCTTCTTTTCCGCCTTTAAGGCCATTTCATAATAATCTCAAGCACCTGACTCCATTTTGAAGCTACGGAAGAAGTGTTACGCAGCTTCATATCTACAGCTCTACAGAGAGATTGCTATCTAAGCGTGGTTATCCATCACTGAAGAAAGTCACGTTCTCAGCTTCAACATATCGGCGCACGACAATAATAGCGTTTTACAGGCGGTCGGTCTTTCATGAACATAATTAAAGTAAGAAAATAAATCAGTGCAGCCATTCGCCTCAGCATGTCAATTTCAGCCGCCTGTACCCGGGATTGAAGCTTCTCAATCGTGGTCCATGACTCATGTCCTACGTAAGCATGGGGATAAAGATCGACTTGAATACCGAAAGCTTAGTTTTCAGAGTAAGCTCAGCTTTAGTCACAATGGCTCGGACTGGTTCACGTAGAATGTCACTGGCTACTCCAATTTGCCGGTCGATC